ACTAGAAGCTTCTAGGTATTTAAGGGATAGAATTACAGACACTGGTTAAGAATAGCAGTAGAGTTTCTGATAATTTGGGAAACATGGTGGTTCCAGGACAGGTTTTGATAAAATATAACTCCAAGATTTCTAACAGATCTCGAATGTGGAAGCAAATAGGTGGCCATCAAAGTAGTGTAGGGGTTAATAAGGAAGAGAATTAAGAAGATACTTAGACCCAATGATAATGGCTTTGATCTTCTCAATGTTCAGTCTCAAATAATTCTTAGCTACCCATCTATGTATCATATTGTCTATGTCTTCTTGAAGCCTTCAGGTTGCCTCAATCATCTCTGAAGGATGAAAGTATTGGTAGATCATGAGTTTGTCAGCATGTAAGTGATATTGTGAATGATGGGTTGAATCAGGGAGGTCATTGGCATAAATGGAGAAAAGAGTTGGTGAAAAGGAAGATCCCTGAGGAATGAACTGTTCGGAATCTATGAGACAAGAAGGAATGAAACCACATTAAAAAAATATTCGAGAAGTTGAGATTTTGGAGTTTGGAAAGGAGGATTTCAACATTAACTGATTCAAAAGATTTGAAAAATCGAAGAGAATCAGAACAGAGATTTTCTGTTTGTCTACAGAGAAGCGAAGGTCTTGTGTGACTTTGAACAAGGCAGTTTGAGTTTCCATGATTTTTCCCGGGAATGTACTATGTATGAAAATTTGAAGAATTTAATCATATTTCTTCAAAATCGTTAGAGCCGTTTTGGTGCTGGAGTATATAAAAAAATATATTTTTCGCAAATTGCATTAGCGGCTCCAGATTTTACATTTTGGGGAGCTTCAGCTCAAAAGATTTTTTTTTTTTTTAACGATAGTTACTTGGAAAGAAAGAGAAAGAAACGAACTGCCTGAAATGGTGTTTAAATGATTCTTGATGTCCTATTAAAAATTTAATTATACTAACAATAATACTTTCATCGATAATTTTTAAATATTTTTTCATAAGATATAGTTATATTTAGTAGCTTTATATGTATTATAATTTTAAAAATAGAATATATTTTTATTATTTAAATATTTAGTACTTAGATCACTCACAGCAATAAATATGAGCTCGGAATTTCAGACAAGGTTCATTTTACTTAAAATATCAGGCACCTTCGTAATTCACATTGAGACCTCCTGGAATGAATACTCTTTTTCAACCCTGGCTCCAGAGCTAATAAGCATAGGGGCCTAAACCCTACCAGACAGAAAAAATCGTATCGGAACCGGTTCACCTGATCCAGACCAATGGCTGGAATTGGAATTATTGGCCTCAGGGTGTTCTAAAACGTAAACATTTGTAAAAAAACAAAAAAAAAACTGCCCATTGAAAATTATACTCGATCTATATATATACTTTCCTTATCTATTAGCGGCAGTAAAGGATCGTATTGTTAGTTCAAAATCGTATTGCCTATTATAAGCTCATAGTTCTATTCCAATAAAAATGTACATATACTTATGTAAATCTTGTGATTTGAAGGGGAATATAATTTAGGCCCTAGTTTAAGTACAGAAACATTCCATTCTATGGATTTTTTACAGTACTCACAATTTATAGAAGATACAATCCTTGAAGTAAAGGATTTAGGTGAGAAGCACTACAAAATTCGTAATCTGATTAGTTGAAGCTTTGAGAATTCCGTATACTATATTTGTTAGTTAATAGACTGTATACAATTCATTATTATTATATTTTTAATTTCTTAGGGCCACAGGATTTTTTAACGTTTAACGTTCAGACTCACAGATGTTCTACTTTAACTACTGTGTACTGCACTGCACAAAACGTAAATAATGATTGTAGTACTGAAAAATATTTTTCAACATATGCAAACGAACCATAAACACTGACATACGAAAGATGTTCCCTAAACAATGGAAAATGTTTTAAAGCGATGATAGTGATTTCAAGAGCTACAAAAAAGTTCATATAGACTATGGTCTGATTCCATCCAAGAAATATATATAATGTATATTATTTAAGTAAATCAGGATTTTTGTTGAAAAGAAAACTATAACTAAGAAACTATTTACCTTAGGTAATTAAAAAATTGAACCATTGTAAACTAAATAAAAATGTTCTTCAAATAGTAATAGAAATAATCTTTGTTAAAACTATTTTAAGAAGGCTTTAAAGCGGTTAAATCACGCGAAGTTCTGTTTTTCGTAAAATCTTAGACTGTGCACGATTTTTGTTTTCTAATGAAATGAGATTTGCCAGCAATTTTGAAAAAAAATAAATTAAAAAGCAAAATTATGTGAAGCACTAGTATTTTTAGCAAAAATAAATACAATACATTATTATAAAGCTTTTTTATAGCATTTAGGGTACTAATATAAGGTTTACAAACATTTACGTTTTCACGAAAATAATTTAAGCAATAGGCTTAATTTGTTCTTATAATGTTAAAACTCATTCTATCACAAGGCTGGTAGGAGACCTATACCAATTTAAGGCGAGAGCTTATTATCATTCGTATATCAAAGAGCAGCATTAATTAAAAATGTCATTGAAATAAATTTTATATTATCCTTACCAGAATTATTAAATTTTATAACTCTAAGCCACTATTGGATCCAGTAATTAATTTTGGGTAAGGGGCTTCAGTCCGAAAGTTTTTTTTAAATATTTATATAACGATAATTGCTTTGGAAGAAAGAGAAAGAAATAACTATCTTTAAGAAATTGCGTTTAAGTGATTCTTAATGTCTTATTAAATGTAATTAACGAACAATAATACTTTTTAGGGATAATTTTTTAATCTTTTTTTTTCATAAGACATGGATTTATTTTACCATTTGTGGGGACCTTCAGCCCTAAAGTTTCCTCCCTCCCTCGTAGATTCGCCTGTGCTCTAAGGAAATTTGTAAATTTCTTCTGTTATTCATTAAATATTTTATTTAGCATGTTTTTTTAATAAAGAAAAATTAATTTTCTTGGTTAATTTATTATAATTAAGATTATAAACTTACAGTATAAACTAAGAATAATCTGGAGCAAATTTACATGATATAATATATTTTTAGGAGATTTCATAAAATTAATTTTCAACTTCACTCTCAGATTTGCTTTCACAGATCGCTTCTTGTATCATTTTATTACTTTCCTACCTCTACTAGTTAAGGAAAGTATTGCGATCGGGGCAAATTTCCGAAGTGTGGTTTTCGAAGTATCTGTACATTTTAGAGCCCCCTGAGTACAAAAAAGAGCTTTTCAGCCATTGGTCTGTATGTCCGTCTTTTTTAATTAGAAATATAGATTACATTGAATTTTTTACACTGATTTTTTTTTTTTCCTTAATGAGCATATTTCAAGACATAAAAACTTTTCTGAAAAATCAGGAAAGTCCTGTGAGTGGACACACCAGATTTTTTTTTACTTTCACTTACCCATATATGTAATATATAGTAAGGGGAAATTTTCGAATCTGAGTTTTCAACGAAAGTACACGTTTTGGGGTCCCCTGAGTCACAAAATGGTCTGTGTGTATGTGAACACGGGCTGATCTACGGGGGAGAAGGGAACTTTGGGGCTGAAGCCCTCCACAAAATAGTAAAATATAACTATGTTTTATGGAAAAAAATTATCTCATAAAGTATTATTGTTCGTGTAATTACATTTAAAAGAACTTTAGGAATCACTTAAACATCATTTCATATAGGTAGTTAGTTTCTTTCGTTTTTCCAAAGTAATTATCGTTATTTCTAAGAAAAAAAGAAAGCTTTCGGGCTAATGCCCTCCCAAAATTAAATGCTGGATCCGCTAGTGTATGTGAACAGTCTAGCTCAAAAACGAAAAGTAGTACGAAACTGATATTACATATTTAAGATAGGTATATGACTGAAATGTTACAGCAAATGTTTCCTCAAAATCGGATTAACCTAAAGTGCCAACGGTGAAACACATTTTTACAATTTTCTCAATATCGGCTCTAACGATTTTGATTAAACTCGGTGTATCATTGCATAATTAAGTGGTATTTAATATCATTTAGGTCTTATCCCGATTAATGTCACTATACAGGGCTTAAATGCTCAATCTCAACATGCCTTCCTGTAAAGTACCTTTAATTTGGCTTATTTTAAATAATTAACTATTACATATTGTTAGGAGTTATGAAAAAAGGCTACACATGAATTTTGAAATAATTTAATAATTGAATAAAGGAGAAAAAAAGAAAAATACTTACCCAGGTCGAAAATGAATGCCCTAAAATACTAGTCAGAAGGTATACGTATAATATATCGTTGGAAAGCGGAGAATTTTAGAAAAAAAAACAATATCTAATATATAAAGTCGTAGAAAGTAATGGAGTGTGACGAAAAATTATAAATAATAATTTTTGAGAACTTATATAATATTAAATATTATGTTAAATATTATTTGACGGAAATCGTGTGTTTTCAAGGAAATAAAATAAAATTTAATAGCTAAATGTAAAATTTAATTTTTTCTTAAGTTGGAAAAAAGTAAAAAAAAAAAAATGCCTCTTGTTCATTGCTGCTTTTAGAGTTTTCCATAATATCAGGAAAATTAAACATCGCATCGACAAATATGTTCTATACAAAACTAAAGCTGATAAAATTTTAAATATGATTGATTATATACCTTTTATCGCTATCTCGCTTAGTTTCTGAGATATCCATCCTCAACTATCACTAATGTGGGCAAAAAAAAAACTTTTATATTTTTAATGTTTCATTATTAATTTCACATAAATTCAATATTTGTTTTACAGTTGAAGGATGGACATCCTCATTTTACACATTTGCCATTGATTAGACAGAGGTTATGCAAAACTTTGAATTCTGAGTTTTTCAGAACTCAAAAACATTTATTTTTCACCTTTATCCACTTGAGCCTTTTTTAATTCTAAATGGTTTAATTTAATAGGTATTTTTTGTAATATTTATTGAATTAATGATTGTTTCATAGAACATATTTGTATTATTATTTTTAGGGAGAACAGGAACTACTGGTAACAAAGCAAGTATATTTCGACATAACGATTGGAGGAAAAGATGCCGGTAGGATTGTCATTGGATTGTTTGGTCAAGACGTGCCTAAAACTGTTAACAATTTCTATAAAATCACTACGAAAGGAATAAAGGGGAGAACATATGCCGGATCTAGGTTCCACCGTGTCATCAAGAAGTTCATGATTCAGGGTAAGTTTTAATAGAATCATTACTGCCAAGATTATCGTTGATACATAACAAAACAAAAAGAAGTTTTTAATTTTCACTCTGTGTCACTCAGTAGCGAGTTACTGCTTAACTATTCTTTTTCTTCAGGTGGAGATATTGTGAATGGAGATGGAACTGGGTTAACAAGTGTCTACGGCCATGCATTCGAGGATGAAAACTTCAATCTCAAGCACACCGGAGCAGGTTTCCTGAGCATGGCGAATAGTGGTAATTATTTTTGGCTTTATTAATATTTATTATCATAAGTTTATTAAAGTTTCAGTATTTCCATCAAAAGAATAAACTTGCTCATAATTGCTTAAGAGGCTGATCTTTCACCTATACTACTATTAATTAACAATGATCTACTGTAAGTCTCCCAAAACTATTTAAACTATTGAAATCCGTTGTTTTGTTTATGAAATATTAAATAGAAGTGGAAAAATTTGATTGTTCATTTAACTTGAATGAGTGACTTCTGAAACTTATGATTGGTATATACTTACTCTGTGTCACTAAAATAAAATTCACCTTAGGGTAGCTCAGTAGGTTCCAAACCTGAAAGTCCCGGGTTCAAATCCATTTGTTATATCAGCCGTGGATCGACCCGGGGATCGGAAGACCTTCTTGTGCCATACTCAGCTTCTATAAAGTGGGTACTCTTAACTAATAATTAATCAAGGGAAAATATCTGTCGGTGGAGTGCACTAGCGGATCCAGGATTAAATCTTGGAAGGGACTTCAGCCCGAAAGCTGTCTTTTTTTCATATACATATAACGATAATTAATTTTTATTAAAAAGGAAAGAAATTAAATACTTATATGAAATAGTGTTTAAGTGATTCTTGAAGTTCTATTAAATGTAATTACACCAACAATAATACTTTAAGAGATAGTTTTTAATATTTTTTTCTATAAAACATGGTTATATTTTACCATTTTTTGGGAGGGGCCTTCAGCCCGAAAGCCTCCCTCCCCCGTAGATATGCTTGTGGTGGAGCGTGATCTCGGTCAAATCCTCCTTGCACAACCATTGACCAAGAAACAGTACTCCTTTAAAGTTGAACCCAAGTCTGGTTTCCGACCCTTCATGGGTTGTAGTGGTACTTTTCTATTTTTTTTAGAATAGGAAACTAAACATTTCGTGAGACTTTCTAAATCAGGGATTCTTAAATTTATATAGTCCAAGAGCCATGTTTTATACATTTTTTTTTTTTGGACCTCGTCTAAATCCTAAGCATTTTAAGTCGTTCTGATAAAAACTAGTTAATGAACTGAAATAAATAAAATCATGACCATGTAGGATTTTTATTAAATGAGTTATTCGACTAAAACCTTAAAGTAGGGAGATCTGATGTAAAAATTTTCCACGGACCTCCGGTAATTAAAAGACGGACCCTAGTGATAAACATTTTTATAAATGTTTATTTGAAAGTGTAAATATCAGCGAATATTCAGCAAATATTTTTATATTGGACTTAGTTAACCGGTAACGGAAGTCGTGCGAATGACACAATATATGTTTTTATCACATAGCTCCATGATAAGCAAGCTATGAATTTTTATTAGTATGTTTAATTAGATTTAAAAATAATGTTTACTTATTTTATACCATTATTGCAGGCCCAAATTCCAATGGATCACAATTTTTTATTACGACTATCCAAACACCTTGGCTAGATGGACATCATGTTGTTTTTGGAAAGGTAAATAAATATAAATAATTTATAAAATATTTGAAATTTTCAAAGAAAAGACATTTTAATAACCTATTCGCTGTTGTTTTTAAAGGTGATCGAAGGCCAACGTATAGTTCACACCATCGAAAATCTTAGAACAGATAACGATGACGCACCTTTAACTGAAGTTAGAATTAAAGCTTGTGGAGAAGTTCCAACACCTCAACCCTTCCTTATAAGAAACGAGTAAACCTTCTCTGTAGTATTCTTTTTAATTTATAATATGAATCATTATCTTAAATGGCTACTGTTATAAAACAATGTTGTATATTTTACATTATTTTCTCTATAGAATATATCTATAAGTTGAGTTGCTTTTTTTTTAATTGATTATTGCTTGTACTGTTTTAAGTAGATAGTAAATTTTGTAAGTTTATTTTTTAGTTATTTACTTATAACATTGTAATAATATACGTATTTCTGAGGAATTAAATGGTTTTTTAAAAAATATTTATTTCTATGCTTTTAAAAACTACCCTATTTCTTTTATTTTATATGCTACAAGAGAAATTAATATCGCTTTGATGTAGCTTTTGAAATATTTTATGGTAGAAACTAATTTAACCACTGCTTCAGTAGTTTAATTATTTTTATCAACACTTTTATTATAATAATTTCAACAATAATTATTTTCGATCATTTATGTTATCAAGAAATAAATTACTTTGTTATAATTTCTCAATCAATTATTTTAGATAGTACTTTGATTGTTGCTTAATTCTTCGTATTCAGAGTTGTTATGTAGATAAACGATGTAAATATTTATCTAGTTTGGTTGTTGATTAAAAATATATTTATACCTATTTGTTGATCTGTTAAAAAAAAAAATATTTCAAAATTTCAACCTTCTTTATCGATTTGTCTGAATGACGTTTCGAGCCACATAAAAAACAAAACAAAGAAATTCAAAAGTTCAATTAGTTTAAAAATTGTATATAAATTCTAAAGTAAGCATTAAAACATGAAGTAAACAATTAAGTCACTTTTCCTTAGTGATGAAGGTATGCTGTATTTTTATTAAGGATTTTTTTTTGGCTTAAATTGAATAATTTTTTAATATCAAGCATATTATGACCGAGACTATATTTTTTTCTTCTTTTTTCTGTTCTTCCTTACCTCGCCTTTTAGGCTGTACGAGATTTTCCCGAGCCGGGGAGTGAGCGTGGAGAATTTTAAAATCCCCTCCGGCACTGGGACGCGAACTCGTAATTTTTATAAATCTCTCATATCTATTATCTGGTTGCCGGGCAACTCGCGGTAAAACCAAGGCTATACTTAACCGCTTTACTTTGAATATACAATATTTTCTGGTAATGTTGGTCTATTACAAGGGGAGGAGGGAGGCTTTCTGGCTGAAGCTCTCCTCCCTCCCTCCCCAAAATGATAAATATAACCATGTCTTATGAAAAAAATAATAAAAAAATTATCTTTAAAAGTATTATAGGAATTAAACTACAGTAAATGTATTTAAGGTTATGACATCCTTAAAATATTTGTATATTTCCCTTCTTCTTTTAAACGATTACAATGAAGTAGTTTTTCAAACAATGTCATGACCTTGATTCCGTGGATTTTATATAATTTTTTTTTAACTTAAAAATAATTTTAAATGTTTATGTTTAGTTAGGAACTTTCATTTAACATCCTTGGAAACATGTGTTTTCCTTTAAATAATATTAGTTTTCAGAAATTATTGTTTATAATTTATTCGACACTCTTCATTACCGTCTACGACTTTTGTGCTAAATATTTTATTTTCTAAAAATATCAGGTTTACAACTATATATATATTATACGTATAACATTTGACTATTATTTACGGAAATTCATTTTCGGCCTTAATAAACATTTTTCTCTTTTTCTTTATTATTCAAGTATCAAATTCTTTCATAGTGTATATTTAGCCTTTCTTTATAACTGCTAACAATCAGATATAGACAGTTATTCAAAATGAACCAAATTAAAGGTGTTTTTGGGGAAGCAATATTGAACATGAGGCGTCAATGAGAAAAAAAAACTACCTAATATTAAAGACCATTTAATTATACATTAATTTACCGAATTTAATCAAAATTATTTGAGCCGTTTTTGAGGAAATTGTGGAAACATATCGATAATATAAAGTGGCATTTCCGATAAGCCGATTTTCAGAAAAATGTTGCTATAACATCCCAAGCATATACCTATCTTAAATATGTAATATCAGTTTCATGATCCTTTAAATATCCGTTAAAAAGTCAGATTGAAAAATTTTCACGATCGCAATATTTACCTTTACTATATATTACATAAAAAGGCTAATGAAAGTTAAAATCTAGTGCAGCGTGCCGAACACAACTTTCACTAACGATTTTGCTTAAATAATCAAATTTATATTCGAATAGGGCTAGAGTGACGGCCTTTTAGTCCGAAAGCCCGTGCAAAACAGTTGACATTATCTGAAAAGATTTCGAAAGCCTTTTTAGGATATTCATAACATTTGTTCATGTTTTTAACTTTTTCCTTTCATTTACGTATATATGTAATATATAGTAAGGGTAAGAATTGCGATCGTGAAAATTTTTCAATCTGACTTTTCAACGGAAATACACGTTTTAAGGTTCTCTTAGTCCAAATATCCAAGTCCCGAAAGATGGTCTGTGTGTGTGTGTGTGTGTGTGTGTGTGTGTGTGTGTGTGTGTGTATGTCTGTGTGTGCATGTGTTAACAGTCTATGTCAAAAACGAAAAGTTGTACAGAAGTGAAATTGAATATTTAAGGTTTTTATATGCTAGGGATGTTCTAGCAACTTTTTCGTCGAAATCGGCTAACCGGAAGTGGCAATTTATATAATGCACTAAACACATGTTTACGATTTTCTCGAAAACCACTCTAACGATTTTAATTAAATTCATCATATCAGTGTAAAATTAAGCAGTTTTAAATAAAATGTGGTTATTATTCTGATTGATGTTCTCTAGCAGGGTTTAAATGGCTAATTTTCAAGATCAGCTTCCTCTAAAGTACCTTTAATTTTTTTATTTCAAACAATTGACCATTTCACATTAATTTCTAATATGAAAAATGGTTAAATATAAAATATGAAAGAATTTGATAAATAACTAAAGGAGAAATAAGATATTGTAACGGATAATAGTTGTAATTGAGGAACCAAAGGAATCCGTGCGCACCCAAGTTCGCCTAAAAGATTAAAACACGCTTCCATAGGTGTCATGAGAATAATATAACATGGACTCCGACAATATTATATAAATATACATATGTAGTTTTCATAAATACTACAGCTATTGTTGATATTATTTAATATTTAATTGTATAGATTAAAGCGATATAAATATTAAAATTTGTATATATGAGGGTACTTATACAAATAAAAAATACCCATACCCAGAATGAAATATAAATAAAAATATAGAGTCTATAATTTTTATTTTCACTTCACTTTGTCTGAAAATACTTATTTCTGCTAAGAAGAGGGTGGTAAGTGAAAGACGTGTGATACGCGCACCGCACCAGATCCTTTTTTTTTTTTAATTTTCACATATTTTATTGAATTTTACTCCTAAATGGTTCATCGAAGCGAAAAAATTTACTCTTAAAGAATTTTTAAAGTTATTTATTTATTGGATAATATAACATTATGTCACTTGGACAATGGTTGTAGGGAGTAATATTAGTATATATTACATATATAATAGGTAAGTGAATTTAAGAAACTCATAGAATAAAGGATGTATAGCTTCAAATTCGCCGTCCATTGAGTCCCAACAGTTTTAATGTAGGTCACTTGCTCCGTCCGAAATCGGTAATTTCCCGATGGCTGAAAATTCATAAGGCAGAATATTTTTTTTTTAAATATTGAAATCTATTAAATATTTAAATAGTTAGAATTTAATAATTCTTAAATCTATTTAATATTGAAGATATTTCAACAGTATGGTTGCATATGATACTGAGTTGTTCTTGTTTAGAGTCTTCTCTAAACAAGAATAACTCAACAGGGAAGGATTTTGACAAAAGAGGTGTGAAAAGAAACCGAATTTCATAAAGAAATAACGAACCACGAGTCGAGAGGTATAACTGACCTGCATTAACACTGTTGATGTTCAGTTGACGCGGAATTTGATTGATGCTCTATAACTTTTGGTCTACGAGTTTTTTTTGTTAGGAAACTCATTTCCAAGCTGCAGACCCAGTTATAGTAATTTGTACTGCGATTATCAACCATACCACTTAACCAAATGATTTAGTTCAAAGCACTACCGGATCCAAGATTTAATTTTTTTTGGGGGGGGGGGGAGGAGGGCTTCAGTCCCATAGAATTTTTTCTCATATATGTATATAACGATAATTACTTTGGACACAAAGAAAAGAAACTAAATACCTATATGAAATGGTGTTTAAGTGATACCTGAAGTCCTATTAAATGTAATTACACGAAAAATAATACTTTAAGAGATATGTTTTAAATATTTTTTTTCAAAAAACGGGGTTACATTTTACCATTTTGGAGAGTAAAATAAATAAAAATAAAAGGTTTCAGCCCAAAAGTCCTTCTTTAATGTAAAAAATGTACATTTGTATTTGCATGGTAAGCTAAACCTTGAAGAAAATATAAAACCTGTTGAATATCAAAGGTTCATCTATCAAGGGAATTTATGCTGTTCGGCGCTGTGCTGAGCTCTGGACGGGAAAATGGTCAAATATGAACATCCGACAGACATTTAAAAAAATAAAAAAGAAAAGAAAACTGAGAACTGGATTGTTACTCCTCCACCCTGCTTACATTACCTCAAATACCTCCGGACACCGTTATATACCACGTCAACGATTCCATTCAGTGGCTCTTTATCTTCAGGAAAAAACCTCCTAACCCTCTGGACGACTTTCAAAATTTAGTTGAGAATCCTACGTTCACAACCCAAACAGTATTATTGTATATATCATTTAAATAATAATAAGTAAATAAAAAATATTTAGGATAATTTATATAAATAAAATAAAGATTTTGTCTGTACATTGAATAGAATAAACTCGTTTTATGATATCTTTCCGTTTCATACATTGCAGACACCAAATCCACTTTAAAAAAAAAATTGTCTGTCTGTATGTCCGCATTGCAACGAAATTTTGTCAGGGGTAAGCTCAGCAATGGCTTATTGTAGACTTTTGAAATTTTAACATTAT